CCCCCCCCCCCCCCTGGGGGATTAGTTGCTACATAAAAGAAACGGGTGGATTTCTGCTGCGGAAACTGTAAGGTCTATTGAATGATCAATACTTTTCTGCCTCTTTGGAACTAGAGAGTGTTTTTTCTGACTGTTCGTGACTCTGGTCACAAACGGAAAATAAAGAGAACTAACATTTGAAGAGACCTCGGACTGCCACTGGACAGCAATGCCATCATAAATTAACCTGGCTCACTTGCAAACGGACAGGCAGTGCTGCTGTCTTGTTATAAAAGCAACACGGTTGTTTAATTTAACTTTGATGCAAGATAGTGGGCCATGATAAGACTTTGTTAAGGATGTCGTGGAAAAATTTAACTGGACTGATTATGGAATCATGTACAAGTAAACATTTAATTACTTACAACAACTCTTACCACCTCATAGATCAATGGTAGAGCGATACATAGGCATCGAAAACGGGCATGGATTCGACTTGTCTTAGTAGGGTAAATTTCAGTCTTTCTATGTTTTGATACAATTACCTAGTAAAATATTACATACCATGAAACATGACAGTTAGGATTTCTTTTCGAGTGTAGCTAGGGGTCAAATCATAAATTCTTGGGTAGCTTTCTGACCACCAAGCCCTCCTCAAAAAATTCTTTTACGTTCCCCCATAAATTGGAACATCCTTTTGCATTTTTAGTTAGCCGCACTGTGAAGATGCAATTCTACTCACTCGTCTAGAGTCGGGAATTTTAAAAGTAGTGGAAAATGCATGCGTTTATTAAAGTAAAAATGAAGGAGCTAAGAGTTCATTTACCTGTATCTTGAGTCTTTCTAGTAGCTCTTGAAATTGTGAAGACTCATAAGTTACCTTCTGCAGAAGACACGAAAACTATACAGGAAACAGTCAGTCAAACAAAACCCTTAAAAGGGTTTTGTTTGACTGTCTGTTCCTGTATTGTTTCAGTTTTAAAAAACTGCATTATCAAATGAACTTCCCTTCAGTTTCTGAAACTGCAAGTGTATAAGCTTAAATTTTCTGTAACTTATCATTATCGTGTTAAATACTGATAGCTAAATATATTTTCTTTCCATGCAAGTAGGAAAATTTTTGTAGGAGGTAACCTTAATTGACATGCCCTTGCTGATGATTTCCTAATTCTCATCACCCTTCCGCTTGACAATGTATCTACACAGTAAGGAGAAATTATATTTTGATATTTACTCTCGTGAATTTGGTCAAATCCACAAGTACAAGCTAAAATAACTTTCTCACGACGATAAAATTTGCGGCTTTAAATATATTGCTCAAGTTAAAATATTTCATACATACCGGTGTTACGAGAAATAACTGGTTCCTTTCATCCAGAAACGGAGACACAAGAATTTTGGGTTCTGTGAAAATTAATTCTCTGCAAATGAAGTTGAATATTCAGCATACAAGATTCTAAAGTCTACAATATGTTTACCAGTGTGCTGTTCTCTTTCAAAATAAAATCGAAGAAATTGAAGAATATTACCTGCAACACATGGGCTGAATAGTGCTTATTTCATCGTCCTTATTCGTCTGTATGGTAGCTTTTGCAGCAACAAGTTCTTCGAGGTTTGGTAGGGAACCGAAAAACAGACCAGAAATACCACTCGTCACGCAATATTCCTCCCGTGACGAGCCCAAAGATTGTCTGCGTAGGAAGCTTCCTCAAGACGACCAATATCTCTATTTTTAACTACCTTAGAAAAACTCTAAGCAGTAAAGTAAGAGGCCTGAACTTTTCGTAAACATCACATACCAAAATTACATTAAATACACGAAAATAACAAAAAGCTCAACATGACATCGTATTCACGGTGCCAAAGCTTGTCTAAACTAAAAAAGGTGCAACGCGATGTCATGTTAGTACGGCTCAAAATATACAAAGGGAAGAATCTATTTCCGTTATAAAATTAAATAGAAGCAAGCAAACTAACCCGACGAACAGGCGGTTTTGACGGCAGGGTTTTTGGTGGAAAACGACAGACCCACGTCTTGCGCTGGTTTCGAGCTCCACCAAGACCCTTGCAAAACTGCCTGCTATGCAGGTTATAATCACAACAGAAAATCTTCTAAAAGCCACCGGTACCTGGCGCGCCCGCGTTCCAAGCAACTCTCTAAAAAGCAGCGGCTTTTGGCAGCCAAAATAGATATCAGTAAAAACCTATGAACATCAATTAACATTACTGAATTAAAGAACAAGAAAAATTCAAAATTACTCTGACGCTATTCCCTGTTCAGTAAAATTTGTCAATCTCCTTAAATTTTGCTTATCCAGTTTTACCTTGTTTGTCCAGCGCAATCTTATTTATGCATTAGAACCTTGATTACACAGTTAAAACTTTATATTTATCCAAAAATAATAAACTGTTCTTCAAATATTTACTTTACGCTAAGTACTCTTAAACAAACTAAATACTGTATTTTTCCTAAAAGCATGCACGTTGACAAATATGACTAAAAATAACGCATAATTCGTTTGTTTCACGCAGTTTTCAAAACTATGCCACTGAGAAACAACAAAGCTGACCAACATAACGCTCTTTAACCGCTGTCAGCTATGTTCACAACGGTTGCGAGGTGAAGGCAAGGCAAGCAAAGGCTACGCTGTTTGTTGGCGTTTAACCTTTCAAGTTAGCGCAATTTTGAAAACCGCGTCAACTTTTCACTACTTACTTAATTTCTAGCTGTTTTCTGATGACTGTTGTAGCCTGGAAAACGTTATCAAAAGGCAAATCAACGGGCCCGAAAGCGCGGGAAAACATGAAACCTTTGCCAAGCGCGGGAAAA